CCCCTCCCCCACCCTGTTTCTGAATAAGTTGACTTTATCAAATACCAAAACGATGCCCGCCTTCCAGTGCACTTCTGGCCATCAGGTTTTTGCAACCCCTTGAGGGATTATCAACAATGTTCACCTCGCTTTCGGGGAATAGTTGATAATTGATATGGAAGTTACCTCTGTTATTCTGCACTTTATCTCATTACAGGTTTTTCTTTCCTTTCGCGTAAGAAATTTCTGAGAGTCAAAGGCAAGTCTTTGTTAAAAGTTATAATCGCAACGACAAAACACAACGACACCCGAGGAAGTTCCACGTGTTAGCTTTACATTTAGAGCTAAAGGAGTCATACGATGCCTTGAGTGGCGTCCTTCGAAATTCGAATTTTTCCGAGGTAAAACTTTGTTTTATCCAGCAAAAGAACAGATATCCAAGCTAATAGTTATCACCCGACCTTTTCTCGTCTAATTACAAAAGAAATCAATTTTTCGGCTAAAAGTTCAGTTTTTGGAAATTCTCGCTTATGTGGTTATCCCATAACAGTCCGTAAAAGTCCTATATAATATGTCAACGTTCAACAGGCAACAGGGGAACCATTTACTTTGTGACAAACGTATAAAGGACGCAAACATATTTTGTAAAGAAATAAACAGTTTTCTACCAAAAAGTTATGACAATATTCTACCTAAATTTTCAGAAGTAGGAGACAGCTTGCTTTCAGTTTCACAAGAGAGTAAATGCAAGATAAGGCCTACACACTGAATCACAAAATGATTCAGCCTTTCCCAATGATCTATTGACACAAATACGTCTACATAAGTAACCGACCACTTGCAAATTGCGAATTAAAGTTGGCACAAAATCAAATTAACTATGAGGGTTAAAATCATGACTTTATTCCTGTAGACTACAACTTTCGTCTTTGAAAAAAAAACATTTGTAACATAAAGTTGATACACTACAACTTTGTGAGCCCTGTAAAGGGATACTCTATGCTTCAGAGGAAGGTTTTTTTAAAAGGTAGTATTTGTCCCATGATATCTGAAAAATGAGGAAAACTTTGAAGAATTGAAGATTCAGAGCGAAAAAAACGCAATAAAAGCCCAAGTTTGCCCTGTTTCGTAGACCGGAAGTGAAACTCACTTAAAACTGAACACGTGATTAATGACGTAGAAGTGAGAACTCGAGTGCTTTGCTCTTCGGTTCAAAGTAAAAACAAGAGAGCAATGGATTCGGACGATTCGCAAAGTTGTTCTTCGTCGCCGCCTTCTTTTTATGAGAGTGCCGACTAAATTGCTTTAGTGGAGTGTACAGGCACCCAACCATACCTCTTTGAACCTTATGATAGCGAAGCCAGCTCTGGTACGGATTCGAATCAGTCCAGCGAGGAGGAGACATTTTAGCGCTTACAAAACACAGACTGGTAAGCTTCAAATCGTCTCGCGAATTGATTTTTTAACTTGATTATTGTAAACTTTCCCAACCTTTAAATTTTAATTTTAAATATCTTAGCGTATGTGATATGTATT